AAGAACAACCAAAAAAAAAAAAAAAAACAGAGATAGGGAGAGAGGAGTCGAGAGGGGGAATTTTGTTTTTGTGTTTTTGTGTTTTTGATTTTTCCTCTTTTTTTCTTATTTTTTTTTGTTAGAACGATCTGGGTTTCGCAATTTCCTGGGTTTGATTCATTCTGAACTATTGCCGTTTGGAAATTGAAAACCCACATCGTTCTTTCACAGATTTGAAGAGGAAAATTGAAAGCATTTGGAAATTTTTTGTTTGTTTGTTTGTTTGATTGATTTATTTTGGGTGTCCGTGTGAATCATTACCACGAACACCCTAAGATTTTGTGTTTTCCCCTCAGACAAACGAAATTTCCATTAGAAAAAATGAACACAGAACCGAGCTGGGATGGCTCTCCCTCTAATGCCATTCATATTGCTCCTCATAAACCAGCTCAAAGGAGGCTCTACCATGTCTGGAAAGGAAACAATGTAAATTTCTCTACTCTTCTAATTCAAATGTTTGAATTATTCTCATATTATATCTAAATTATCTGTTATCACGATGAGATCTCCCTTCAAAATCACGACATATTCTAGATTATCTGTTTACTTTTAGTTAGCTACCTGGTTTCTGGGTGAGATTAATCAATAGATTCAGTAAAATTGTTCCTTCATTTGTTATTAGATTTTGTAGATCATGATTTCCTCGATGTTCTTGATATATTATCAATTCATGAGATTCAACTATCTTTAATGATTTGTTCACTGTAATTATATTGGCTGAGGTTCATAGATGCATTCATTCTCTCTGCCCTGTTTCTTCTTAATTCTTTTATAAGATATTTGATCTTTTTTAGTTTTTGAATCTAAGGATCTCCCTTGCTTATCATGAGATATCCATAATTCTATGGATTCAAATGTTTGAACCTTAACTGTTTGTTAGTGTGAGATCCCACATCGGTTGAGGAGGAGAACAGAACACTCTTTTTTATAAGGATGTCGAGACCTCTCCCTATGAGACGAGTTTTAAAAACCTTGAGGAGAAACCCGAAAGGGACAAGTGGACAATATCTGCTAGTGTGGGCTTGTCCATTACAATTAGTGTATTCATTAAGGAATTTCCCTTGATAATCATGATATATCCTAGCATAGTTTGAACCTTAATTCTGTGTTAGTGTGAGATCCCAAATCGGTTGAGGAGGAGAATGAAACACCGTTTATAAGGATGTCGAGACCTCTCCCTAGGAGACGCGTTTTAAAAACCTTGAGGGGAAGCCCGAGAGGGATAACAGGACAATATCTGCTAGCGTGGGCTTGGACCGTTACAATTAGTGTATTCATTAAGGAATTTCCCTTGATAATCATGATATATCCTGGCATAGTTTGTTATAAATTTCTTTAATTTTGGTAGTTTTCAATGTTATTGGAAGAAGTTATGATGGTGAATGTAATAGAATGGATTCTTCATGTACTGATGCATCATGTTCTTTGTCTGCTAGAAATTCTTATGTGGTGGGAGATTAGTTTTCGGGCAAGACGGAGCGTCTCTCTTTTTAACATCATTTTTAATCGGTGGTCCTGCAATAATATTCTGCATAAGAATGCTAGTAGCAGTCCATAGCGATCGTCGAACGTTTCATTTCCCTGCACTCATTGGAGGATTGGTTCTTACATCTTTGGTGTGTGAAAGGCTGAATTCTCCTTGTGTAGTTTAAGCTTTTGCAACAACTGATGTACCAAACCGGATCAATAAATTTGTTTGTGCAGGATTTCATTTTTCTGTTCTTGACTTCTGGTAGAGATCCGGGGATCATTCCGAGAAACTCGATACCACCTGACTCAGATGAAGCAGACATGACCACCCCTTCTATGGAATGGGTCAATCACAAGAAGCCTAATCTGAAAATACCCCGAATCAAGGATATAACGATCAACGGATACTCAGTGAAAGTGAAGTTTTGTGACACTTGCCTTTTGTACCGTCCTCCTCGGGCGTCTCATTGCTCTATTTGCAACAATTGTGTTCAGAAGTTTGATCACCATTGTCCTTGGGTAGGTCAGTGTATTGGGCTGGTAAGTCATCGACCCTTCTCTGATGAAAAGATTCACTGCATGGTTGAAAATTTACTTGTTCTTGCAAAATTTGATATCAACATATGTTGTTTGCAATAATTTGTAGTAGCAGTTCACTTTTGTTCAAGAAATGTTGATTGAGACTCGATTATTTGGCTGTTGATTCTGATATGATTCTGATATGATTCTGTAATATCTCTGATTGATTTCTGGTGTTGAATTAACCATTGCTTTATTTTCATTTCGATGCAGCGAAATTATCGATTTTTCATAATGTTTATATCGACATCTACCACTTTGTGTATATACGTCTTTACACTTTCGTGTATTACCATTGTTCGACAAAGTGGGAGCATGTGGACTGTCATTTCAAACGATATCTTGTCCGTTGTCCTTGTCGTATACTGCTTTGTATCTGTCTGGTTCGTCGGGGGGCTAACGGTTTTCCATATTTATCTGATGTGTACCAATCAGGTAGAGCTTTATATTTTTAATGTTTTCTCGCATTTGAATATGTGACCATGAAAGCAAGCTTGGGTGCTGACTGATTTCTCGACCGTTAATCTTTTGCAGACG